GGGGGAGTCTTGGAAAGGAAGATCACAAGTTCGAGAACAGCCTGCACGACCTAGCAAAACTGTCTCAAAATTCAAAAAAGAAATAGGGAAGTAGCATAAGTGCCTCTCTGGCAAGCAGAGGGTCCTGAGTTCAATCCCTGGTATAAAAAAAAAAAAAAAAAAAAAAAGTGCGATGGAGGTACAGGGCTGCTGTATTCTGCAGGCCTGACGCCGTCCAAGTCATTTGTTCACTTGGACTTACAGCACAGTGGCACTCCTAAAAACACTCATTTTCTTTGGAATCTGACTAGTCAGAGGGTCCCCACAGGGAGGAGCCAGGCAGCCCCTGCCGGCGACGTGGCAATCCCACGTCTGAAACAGCGCTGCTGGACTCTGCAGTAGGAAAAGCATCATTAGAGAATGAACCGGAAGGAAGATATTGCAGAGAGCTAGCTTCTCGTTTGGACATTTACAATGAAATCAGAACGGGAGACTCAACCTGCCGCTTTTAATTCCGGGAATAAAAGACCAAGATTTTCCCGGCCTAGTTCCTAACCTTACACCGAACCCTGAGGCTAGCATCTGTCCATGAGGACCCGCCCGAGTCCCCAAGTCGCCTGCAACCACTCCTGCCTCGGAAGAACCCTGGCCGCCGGGCTCCGCGAAGGTCCGCACCTTGAAGTAGGCGACCTGCAGGTAGTTGTAGGGACTCCGCTTGCGGAACTCCAGCTCCAGCTCCTCGCTGAGCGCGTGGGCGGCCGGCGGCCCGAGGCAGCGGCGCAGGCAGGCGGCCCGGCGCAGCAGACCCCCGAAGAAGCGCAGGTCGTGCAGCGCGGCGGCGCCCGGATTCGCGGCCTGGCTCGGGGTTGAGCCGGCGTCCAGCTCCCAGGGCAGGTCCGCGGCGCACTGGGTGCGGCAGCGCAGGCGGAGGGCGCGCAGGGCGGCCCGCGAGCGGAGCGCCCGCTCCATGCTCAGAACCACCTCGGGCCAGTCCCCGCGCGCGTAGGCCGCTGTCCCCTCGGCGAAGAGCAGGTCCGGCGGCGCCATGTCCCACCCGGCCTCCGACTGCACATCAGTGTGGGAGGCGGCGGCAGCAGCCGCCAGCAGGGTGGTCAGCAGCCTCCACACCCGCGCCGCCATCGCCTCCTCGGACCTAGCGGGACCTCGCTACACCGCCGGCCAGGGCGGGGCTCCAAGCGGTGGAAGCCTGCTGCCAGGGAAGAGACCCGCCTCCAAGCGGGGTGGTGCGTGCCCAGGCGGGTGGCACCGCCTCTTTTCTTTCAACCAATCCGGGCCCCGCTCCTCAGTCGGACCCTGTACGTCAGCGGGAACCGAGTCTCGCAGCGCAGCCCGTTCGGTTGCTCTGACGCCCATTGGCTAGGGAAACGGAAGCTCCGCCCAGAAGCCTTTCTGTGCAAGTTCTTCCAGTTGGCAGGGCCCGCGGCGAGTCGCTGTCATGGAGGGCGCCGAGCTCCCTGGGCAGGCAGAGGGAGGCGGTGTGGAGCGTCGAGGAGCGCCGGCGGTGGCTGGTCAGGGAGGTATGCGGGGCGGAGGTTGGCCGGGGCCAAGAAGCCGTCGCGGAGCGCGTCTGGGGCTCCGTGGGAGGCCGCGGGCGGGAGCTCACGGCCTGTTTGTGCTGTGTCGCAGGCGCCCTGGTGGAGCGCACGCCGACCCCCGGCGGCCTGGCCCTGGTGAGCCCCTACCACACCCACCGGGTCGGGGACCCGCTGGACCTCGTGGCGCTCGCAGAGCAGGTGCAGAAGGTGAGCGGGCGCGGCCGGGGAAGAGAGTGGCTGTCTTTGTTCGCGGGAAACCCAGAACGCTCGGTGTTATTTTATTTGCACCTTAGGACAGCCCTGTTTAAAAGCAGGAGGGTGAGGTCTGAAGTTTTGTCCTGTGTCCTCAATGATTGGGCACAGTATTCCCAAAACGAGAGGTTAGACATTGATCGCCAAAATAGGAGAAATAAAGAGGAAGCGCACCGGACATTTGGACACATGAGTCTTTGGGCCACTTTTGACATTAGCTTCAGGCAAATTCTCTCAGAATCTGTGTGCTCGCTTCGGCAGCACATATACTAAAAATCAGAATCTGTTTTATTTGTAAAAGGAACAGTTTGAAGTAGCAGAGCGCCTCACGGTGAAAAACCAAGTTCTGTTTTCCTTTTGTGGTACTGAGGATTGAACTCAGGTCCTTCCATTTGCCTGACAGGTGCTTATGTTACTGAGCTACAGTCCCAGCCTTTTTTTTTTAAAGGCAGGGTCTTACTATGTAATGCAGGCTGGTGAACTTGTTTATATAGCCCATGCTGGCCACAAACTCACAGAGACTCTCCTGCTTCAACCTCCTGGGTGCTGGGATTACAGGCATGCACTGAAGTAGGACTTAAAAAAAATTACAGTTTTTCAAACTTCCCACTCCCTATAGCTGTTGTTCTTTGTTCTAATATGAGTAAAATTAGTAAGTTTTGTCCCTGAAAGTAAAACTATATAATGTCCTGTTCCCATAACGTTGTGCCCAAGCAGAGCAGGTGCACCAAGATATGCTTCAGAACTGTCACAGTTAGTCTTCTTTTGTTCTCTTGCTCACCCACTAGTTCCACAGGAAACACCCCTGTGCTTCGTTACATGTGGAGCCCTTCCCTTGTTCAGCACTCGGCCCCTTTACACTGCAGTCCTCTAAACCAGGTGTACACCTAAATAAGCACTTACTCCTGGTTCTCAGTGGCCTCTTTGGTTTCTTGAATTCATCATTTCCTGTCAACCCAAAAGGGATTGGGGACAACAGGGTTTCTGTTTTGCCTATGGGCCTCGGGAGCCCCCAAGCTGCAGGCATCCTGAGGCCCCTGGGGCCACTGGGTGAGACATAAGCTCAGGAAGGGAACTGGCCCTCCAAGATGTCTAGTTAGTATAGAGCCCTCTTCAGTATGCACAGATATAGGGCCCTGCTGATTTAAGTGTGCACAGATTACGGGCCCCTTGTATACACTGTCAGATTTGGTCTTGATTATATTCAAAAGTCTTTTTACAAAATAAATGATTAGTGTGCTTAAATTTCCTCACATAAACAGCCGTACTGTTTTTATTTTATTTAACAAAAATTCAAACACATAGGCAAACTCTTAACTAAGACCTGTGTTTTTTAGAGTGGTGGGGAGCAAAGTACAACTTTTGTGGATAAGAAGAGTAGTTTCTGAAAAATAAGGTCACTGTTCTTGGTAGCAAGGCTGCCATGGACCAAGTTTTGGGCAAACAACATTTTCATGTTACTGAGTGAATATTATATGTATTATACTGTGAGAATCAAAGAAGGAATGTGTTTTTTGTCTTTCTTCATATACTCTAGTGAAATATGCTTTTTTTTTTTTTTTTTAATGGCTCAGGGTACTTTCAGGGCATCTCTAGTATGGCTTGAGGATCTGGGGATCGAACCACAGCAACTTGAGCCTGACTGTTCTGTTTATGCAGTCAAAGAACTGTGCTAATGGTCAGGCTCCTTGAAATATGCATTACTGAGCTGCCTTAGTTTTTCCAATATAATTGTGTTTTTTTTGTGGTACTACGGATTGAACTCAGGACCCTGCATTTACCAGGCAAGCTCTTATTCTACTGAGCTATCTCCCCGCCCCCTCCCCCCCTTTTTTTTCAGCCTCCCCAGTGCCACCATGCCTGTGCCTGGGGGCCAGGCCCATGCAGCATGTGGTGCCAGGGATCAAACCCCGGTCCCAGTGCTTGCCTAAGCAGGTGCTTAGTCTGCAGAACTATCTCACCAGCCCTATAATCAGTCTGTGAGAAGCTGAAGAAAAATTGAACGAAGCCTATTTACTATCTGTGTACTGAGATTACTTTCTAGCAGACCTGATCTCTGGCACCTGATTAAAGAAAGCTTGAAAGGCTTAGGACTGAGGCATAAGTTTTGGAATCAGGCTGAACTATGTTGAACTCTTTCAACTACAATTTATTAACTATGAAACTTTAAGTTTTCTGCCTTTCTTTTTATTTTTGCAGTACCAGGGATTGAACTCAGGGCCTTGTGCTTACCAGGCAAGTGCTTATTCTACTGAGCTATCTCCCTGGCCCGTAACTTTTTTTTTTTTTTTTCAATGTCTGCCTCTCTTGAGCCTTAATTTCTAGTATGATTGTGAAAAGTTTTCATCTCCAACTTCATAAAGATATTGTAACAAATTTTGTAATTAATGTAGAAGTCCTAGGAGTTGTCAGACCAGGGTTGTGCTTAGTGATTGTAGACACTCTACAATCTGTAGATTATTTTAATTAGGTGTTTCTGTTTACAAAGAATGGATTTACCACTACTTCAATTTCTTAAATGTATTTAGTACAGGGTCACACTGCACAGATCGGACTAGTAGTGGTTAGCTTCCCAAGTGCTGGTATTACAGGTGCGTGCTACCACGCCCAGTCTTAATCACCATCTCAGCATGCCCTGAGGGTGAGGCTGGCACAGCAGGCATGCCTGGGATCTGGGGATCAAACCCCTGTCCCCGTGTCTGCCTAAGCAAGTGCTTTAATTCACTGAGCTATCTGGCCAGTCCTACCACTACTTTAAGAAAGGGGGCTTTATTACAAGGCCTCTTCCAGACTGACACTGCCTTATCTCTGGAAACCACAGGCCTCTCAGCCATATGGCTCCTCTGTTCTATAACAAAATGCAAATTCTTTGCTATGGGCCATGAGACCCTGCGTGATCTCTTCTGCCTGCTTGGTTTTTGCTGTGTTTTAGAGATAAGGCCTTGAACTGCTAGCCTCAAGTGTTCCCTGAGCCTCCTTTTTTTTTGCTTTTCTTTTTATTTATTTTTTTATATATTTATTTTTT